TTGATTGCATACTAGTCAGTAACTAGTGTAATGTGTCTAATCCTATCTTCACTGCAGACTGAATTCTATCAGTCAAGCTTGCAATGTGGCCACCATGCTAGGTGGCTCGCTATTACGTAGCACTGTGAATTGTTGGTACTTTCTCTAAAAAAAGATCACACGGTACGAACAGTTTATCAACACTGTCAAAGCATTTAGAGAAACCTCATGTACTCGCTTTCCTCGAGGATACAGTAAATATGCACTGAGAATTCAAATGATGAAGAATTGCACAAACTCCGAGGGATATCGACAGGAAACGGTTTTCTCTCTGCCAGATTCAGATGCAGGAATATAAAACAAAAGCAAGCGTGTGAAGAGGTCCAAGTTCCTCCCCAAAAAGATGCTTATGCTTGACTTCAAATTTAAAAGTGATGCTAAAGCAAAAGTTCTTTGTAGACGGTTACCTAAATCTCTCAGTAAAACATACTTTGACGCCAGTCTACTAGTAGCATTTTCTTATGCAAGAAACTATTCAGCCACCATGTGAAATACAAACTGTTACCAACTGTAGACCACTTCAGCATGGACATTTCAGTTCACTTGCTCCTTCCTGTGTAGCCGAGTACATTGGTGCGTACCACTCATCCGAATGTACAAGGTGCTCGAAAACACTACCCAGCCTCGCTGGCTACCGAGGGGAGAACGCCAGGGTGTGTATAACATGGCAACATAACATCTCGTAAATTCAAGATTTTTAGCCCCATTCAAGGTGAAGTATTTCAGACACACACAAAATCCAATCAGATCTCTCTTGCAAAGGCAGTGAAATCAAGGCATCAGTCAGGTAATAACTTAGGCAATAACGATCCAAACAGAATTTAAACCCAAGATATATATTCATCAAAGGAAATGCATCTAACCATTACTGTTCCTGCCACGACCATCAATGAAGTCAATCCTATTAATAATGATTATCAGATTGCCTTTCATCTCCAATCTCTCTGTTGATTTATGTCATTTTTGAGGTTTTTTAGAAATTTCTATCTGCGTTACAATGTTTTATATCTTAACTTTCCGCCTATTTTGTCATTTTTGGGCTGTTAATGCCTGACTTCACCATAACAAGCATTCTTCAAGGCAACTATGGTCTTCCTATGTTCCCTTTTTATCCTATTTCCCTGTTAATTATACCTGTAATTTTGACAAAGCAGTAGTAAGACGTAATTTGTCTCAAACGTGTAATGTGTTCGCGCAACAAATTTCAAAAATATGATCACACATGGACTTGTCATAGGAATATATATGAAATTCATTATGAGTTAAGAGGTGAGAAAACATCAATATAATAATTACAAAACCTGATAAAGGGTCTGGAGTCGTCATTATGAACAAAATTGACCACAAATCCGAAATGCTATCTATTCTTGGTGTTTGTTTGACAGTCTGATTTATTTTGCTATGTATATATGGATCGATATTCCATTATAACTAGCCAATCATGTTAAGACTGTCTATTGATCTGTTCATTTTGAATATTTGCTCACAAACTTGTGTTCACACGCTTGTTCAGACATTCATATATATTTTGCTCTCATACTCTTGTGTGGGATTGATTCTCTAGGTGTTTTGGAAAATAGAAGTATCATCGCAAACCTAGTGGTCTTCTGATTTCCGTCTTTCTTGCGTCAGGACTTTTAAATTCTCGACCAGTACATAACAATAATTTGGCGACGAGTACATAACAGAAACCAAATTCACTCGTGATCTCTCCTCAGAAGATATTCGGCTGTTGCAAGGTACAGTGACAGCTTTTCTAGTGAAGCTTCATGGCCCAAATGCCATCAGTAAGGATACATTTGACTCTAAAACCATCAGAATGTAAATTCCCGCATATGTATGGTTTACCAAAAACACACAAACCCAATAATCCTCTACGTCCTGTATTGCAGATACCTAACACATAAACTTGCTAAATGGTTAGTACAATTCTCTAAGTATGCGTTAACAGATATATTTGAATCGGTTAATTTTCTTGACAAAATCAATATTATGAATAAGAATATGTGCTCTTTATTCACTTATGTGCCTCCGCTTAAAACAGTTGATATTTTGTGTAATCACATTTCCACACACATTTTTCCATCCCGTTCCATATATCATATTTAAACGATTTATTACTTCTATGTACTAGCAATATCAGGTTTACATTTGAAGGCGTTTGTCTCCGCCAGGTTGATGGTGTTGCTAAGGGAAGTCCGTTAGGGGCCCCTTTCAGCAGATACGTCGTATATTGATAGTTATTCAGAGGATTTAGTCGAAAATGTGCCAAATTATTGAAAGTATGTAAATGACATTATAATCAAAAGTGATAAGCCTTGTTCTGCCACCTCAAATTTAAATCGAATGAATGAAGTTCAGAATAGCATATCACTTACATCAGTAGAAGAAGAAGATAACTGTTTATCTTTCCTAGACACATTGCTTAGTCGACGGCGCGACGAGTCAGTGAAAAGATGTATTTATAGAAAACCTACCTGGACAAGACAGCATCTTAATTATCACAGTTTCTGCCCCGTTCGGAAAAAAAGGGCCTTAGTAAGGTGCCTCTTCACTAAAATCCAACGAATATGCACAGAAGACACACTTGGTGAGGAAGGAAGAAAGTTGACACAAAATCTGGCTGATAACAATCATTCAGGCAAGTTCATCAGGGGATATAAAGTAGTCAGAACACCAAGACCCATTCTCCGACTCGCCCCTAAGAAAGACGTGTACATTAAGCTACCTTGTATGGCGCATCATAGCACCTTGATAACTAGACATAGATTGAATTCTGATGTTAAAAAAGACTTTCTGTTCAGCTAATATCGTAATAATTGAGAATATGAAGCCAATATATACATCTGGGCCCTTAGAACATGGAAAAATTATGTCACATCCCACCATATTTACTTATTTGTGTGTGTGGACACACATAGACAAGAGGGAGGACACATCGATCTCTTCAAGTAACGGATTCAGAGCATATTCCTAAATGGCTCCAAAAACAAATGGAATATTCAGAGGATAGGAGACCTAGCTACTCTATTGCGAAACATATTATAGAGAGAGGACATAAAATTGACGTTAACACATCTTTTTAATCTATCTATAAAACGTATTTTGTGGGGTATATTCTAAAGCAATTCGGAAGCTGGAATCACCTTTATACGTTTACGAACAATTCTTCATCAAATTAAACCTTCTTCGGTAAACTTTGTTTTGATACCAGCTAGTGTGGATGCACCACTACCTCTGTTGTTTGGTTTAGTGATCTTCGCAAAGTCTACGTGATCAGATATTTCAAAATAAGTTTTGAGCTAATACATTACAGGCTGATTCTGATAAATTACATCTTCTTATTGTTTTGTCTTAATTCATAAAGGGAACTAATTGTTTTAAAGCTGTAATTTTATCAGTTTGACTGTTAAGCTACCTTAAATAGTTCTAAGACATTCTCAGACTCTCTACTTTAAGTACACAAATGAACATTCTGGTTGATGATAACCTAATCGAAAAAAGACTTTTTCCTTTTCAACGGAATTTTTAAGTAATTTTGACGTTAGGCTGAGAAATTCAGGTAAGACAATTGTGACGGTTAATCGATCGAAATGCCTAGAACACATATTATGTATGCTCAGCCACCACCGACTTTATCAAGCAGCAAGGTTGGTTGATATATATATATATTACTCCCTTCAGCTCTGAGTGGAATAGTGCTTCAGAAATACATCTCCACCTTGTTCTTTTCGCTGCCATCATCTTCTCCTGGGTGCATGACTGGCCATAATCCCTCATTTCCTCCTCGGCCGAACGATCTCCCCCATGTCAGCCTTGCATCGATGACCCACTCGTCGCTTTCAATTGGGATTCCGGTCGATTTATTGCCTGAAGCGGGATGACAGTCGATGGCTTCTTAAAAGCAAGCCCGATCAATCTGCATTTTCCCCTTCATATTTGTTACGCGTTAAACTACACGTTGATTTGTTCGCAGTCAGAGTACCTTGTTGACACTTCACCATATTATTATTCCATAAGGATTTTCCAGCTTATGGTGTCTAACAGAGATTGGGGGAAATAACTGACTGAAAAAATCGGGATCAGTGAGTTTGTAAAGGTTACACAACAGGTTATTACATGATCAGTATAGTTTGTCATGTAATGATGAGCCATAAGTGTAGTTGAACAAATTACGTAAGGCGAATACTAATATACAAAAAAGTCGATTGAATGAGATAGATAGATAGATAGATAGACAGATAGAATAATGATTATAATAAAAGCTAACAGGATCAAATGATAGTTACAAGGGTCAGTGAAAAAGATCATTTCTAAGACTCTCTGTGGATTTATGGATTTCAATAAAGAAGGAAAACTGTGGTCTGTGCAGAATAAGATGCCATCAACATTGGTAATTTTGTTGACTTTTCATGAGCTGAGTGCAGTCTAAAGAAATGATTACTAAGTTTAGCAGAGAACAATTTCTAACACTTTCAAATGTGGTGACATAGTGTCACTTGAGACAGAGGCTCAAATTTGCCTGATGAATAGTAGTCAGAAATTTACACTTGAAAAGTTTTTACTCGAACAGTTCTAGTTTAGAAAAAAATCATTGAATGCACACAAATCAAATTATCATATGACTATAATATTATTATTACGGATTCAATTTCCCACAAATCTCCTATTCTCACTACATGTATTTCCTCACCACTCGATTTCACTTTCTCTTTCTTTTTTCTAAATGTCTTATTTCGAAAGTATTTAAAATAGAACACAATTCACACAATCAATAATCTGAACGGTGTTCACAATCGGAAAAATATTCTCCACTAGACATTTGACCTGCTTTTTATTTGATTCCTTAGTGAATGAGATTAGAAATGTCAGCCTGAATTTCATCGATTTCTATTTTTCTGACTGAGTAGTCATCCCATCAAGGTTATTCACACTGACCGGCAAAATCATCATAAAATTGAATGAATTCAAGAATTCGTTCATTTGACAAACAGACTATGCTACAGTTCACTTCTCTTGGTGTCTGGTGTGTTCTGATTATATTTCTCCTTACAATTAAACCATGTTCTGGTATTAAAAGTATAATATCGAATCCAGTGTATCGAACTCGCTCATCAAATAAAGTTGACGCACTGTACGAGAATGAATGGCGTGAGATTCCTAAACGATCTGTGAGTGTGTTTGGTGCGGTGAGAAATAATACCCTGTCTGGTCAAGATAAGTTGCGCACACCTGTCATGAACACGATTCTTAGTCCGACTGGATTTCAATTCGTTGGAAGAGATGATGGATCTTCATTGTATTCTGCATTGGAGAATAAAGTCTCATCACAGAGGCAGGAACAACCGCAATCTCAGCCAATCTCAAAACGGATTACAGAGGAGGAATCAGAGAAATTCACTGGTAATCTAGATGACTCTGATAGTAGTCATTTCAAAAATAATCCATCGGTGAATGAACAGTTGAGTCGTGAACAATATCCCATCTGGAATCTGCGGGCGAAAAATGGTCTTTATCGTGGTCGACAAGCTGTATTAACATCAGCAGCAGAACCACCACCACCACCACCAGCGAGAACTCCCTCACTGCTCACACCATATGCCACAGGTGTACCTCACGCAAATCGGAGGAATCTTTTTTATCCGAAATATACAACAGGTCTGAATACACCGGTTCAACAGGATACACGTTGGCGAAGAACCTCACTATTTTCACTGCCATCATCGAATATGCTTCGGTATAACGGATTGCCGATGGAATATCCATTGAACTTGCGAATTCGAGGTACTCAGCCTCAATCAAGATTCATTTTCAGACAACTACCTCGCATCCCTGTTGCAAGACAGTATGTGCAGTCCAACCAACTTCAGCCGGAAGTGAGTAGAAAATTGCAACCGTATGGACAAGTGGTGACGCCACAGAATAACACGATAAATCCTAGAAGTCTTTCGAATATAAATCGCAATGATGGAATAAGAAGATTATTTGGGTAATTTGATTGTGTAAGCCATTTTAGACGTTTAAATTGAATGAAGTAATAAAGACTGTTTTGATGTGTCATATGCCTTTTTCATTAGTTTCGTTGCGTTTCACATCTAGGGATTCCGTTATATTGTGGTTGTTGATATTATTATCCCATAATTAGCTGGTGATTCCGAATACATTGAAAGGTCCTGAAAATGGAGAATAGTTTTGTTATTTTTCGAACAAAAACATATAAGTTTGGCTTATCTTCAGCTGGACTGTGATGGATTCAGCCAGATATATGTCAAAGACGAATTTGTAAGGCGGACTAGGTGATGGATAACTTCAAATGCCTTGTTAAGACATCGAGTTAACGTTCAGTACTTACGACGGTTGAGAGGTGAGCCAGAGAGCTATGAGTAGATGCTATCTGCCACTGTCTGAGTAATCGCTCCATGCAGGTCGCAGAATGTATAGAGAAATATGATGATGAACATGTCTAAAATAGGAGCCTCTACACGTATAACTCGCTTCGCAGGAACAGTAACAGTGTGGTAGATACACATTGTTGTAGATGACGCGATATTAGGAATTTTTTTCCTTCACGTTCCTAGTGGAACAGAGGGCCTCAAGCTAGTGGCATGAAGTTTCTGTAGCCATGTTTAATTTTACGGGAGGGGTTGCTAGCCTAACGCCCAACATCTCCTCTGGCGAGTGCGTCGGCCGGGGACGATATTACGTAGTCAAACGTTTACTCCGTAATCACTTGGTAATACTGACTAAGAATACCCTGAATGAAAGGATTGAATATTGAGATGTTTGTGATTATCTTGACACGAGTGCAGTGAAGCAGATGTGTTTGAAATGCGATCTATTTATCTGTGCTTAAATTGAATGGAGTTTTCTATTCTCGAGGTGATTTGGTGCCTGATAGCGTGTGTTTTAGCTCTCGTTTCATTTTTTGAGCAGCCAGTAGGAGAATGCACCTTGTAACAAGCGTTGTTCATGAATGAAACCATAAAGTCATCAGTGTAACTGGTGCATGTGGAACAATTTTGAATTCCACACTGTAGAGATTGGAGATGAAAGGCAATCTGATAATCATTATTAATAGGATTGACTTCATTGATGGTCGTGGCAGGAACAGTAATGGTTAGATGCATTTCCTTTGATGAATATATATCTTGGGTTTAAATTCTGTTTGGATCGTTATTGCCTAAGTTATTACCTGACCGATGCCTTGATTTCACTGCCTTTGCAAGAGAGATCTGATTGGATTTTGTGTGTGTCTGAAATACTTCACCTTGAATGGGGCTAAAAATCTTGAATTTACGAGATGTTATGTTGCCATGTTATACACACCCTGGCGTTCTCCCCTCGGTAGCCAGCGAGGCTGGGTAGTGTTTTCGAGCACCTTGTACATTCGGATGAGTGGTACGCACCAACGTATTTGGCTATACAGGAGGGAAGGTGACATATATATATGCGTCGAATAAGTACAAATATTGCTACGGTAGTTTAGGTGAATAACAGAGTGACTTTAGGTATCAGCGATGAATTATTGCCATGCAAACATTATTTAGATCAAAAGAGAACACGTAGTTTAGCGAAGCTTCTCCCCACCTCTACGTTCTGCGAGTTCCTTTCCGCCTTATTTTCGATGAGGGACGGTTGTAGGGAAATCAATGATTCATTGTCATTGTGCAATGTAACGCTCAATGCTAGCTCGTTCGCGACCAGTAGGCTAGTAAACAGAATTGAAAACATTTATTTCCCGATACGAACTCAAAACAGGCAATAAAGTTAAAAAAAAGCAGGATTTAATGAACAGAGGAATTCAATCCTAGGTCAGTTTTAGCAGCGAATGAATGGTTTTCCAACTGATGTTCATTTGTGGTCGATTCTGACTGATTTCCATGGAGTGGTTATGTATTTCAGATATCTCTAGTAAGCGACATGAAAGCACGTGATTGCTGATCGTACTGAATAACCGCAAGTCTTAATGTTGGTTTGATAGTATCAGGTGAGAGTGAATGCCTTTGGACTATTTCACTAACATCTTCGGGATTAACTGTTTGCACTATGATGCCATTAAGACTGGTCATCCTCTTAGTGATTTTAGTGCTTTGTATTATGCCCAGGTTCTTATTTCAAGAGTGTCGTGATGCGTATTTTTATTATTCTTTTGAATTCAGAGTGGAATATTGGGCATCAAGTGAGGAACATATCCACTTCAACCTGTTCTCACCAACACCACACGATCTTCTCCTTCAACATCAGTTACACCTTGACCTACGCCCAAATCGTCCTTCCCCCATTCAGGTCTCTCTCAACGGGCTTTCAGGTAGATGTACGACGTCACCCACAACAGTCTCCTCAGTGTATTTCTTATCCATCCATGCACCCACACATACGTCTCCAATTTCGTCATCAGAATATTTATTAAGTAGACAACAGGTTACTGACTGCTCCGTTCCCTGACGGAGTTGGTAATCCTTTTTGTCCAGAAAACTGTCGGATCTTCATTATGCGGCAGGAGATTTCTGAAGCGTATGGAAGTGGTGACTGGCCAGCTGAATGACTGACTAACTGACTGACGTAACACTGGTGTTGACAATTTGAATCTAGTGATGAGGAATCTAACTGATGGATACATTTCTAGTGACAATATCCTACAGATCATTATTTGTTAATGAAAGGACAGAGATTCAACGAGGACGGTTACTGCTTTACTTTCAGCGTTTTCATTCTCAACCTGCACAATCGAAATATCTGTATGTGCACATGTTACATTTTCATAGCCCAACAAAGTGGAATATTTCCAGAGAAGTGTATCACTACACATTTTATTAGGAGATAATATTTACGTAATAGAGAATAAATTCGTGAAAGGTTGAATCTGAAATAGAATTAAATGAGTACATAATGTACTGTGATGTTATAAGATAATTGACGGTCGTGGTATGACTTGACGAGGAGTTCAAATAGAATTGAAACACAGTCAGTCAAGTTGATATATACATACATACATACTTATGCATATATGCGTCTCATAAGGAATACAACATTAGATTGGGCGAATAAATAAGAGACTTAAAGAAACAGCGATGAATAATCCCCATCCAAACATTATTTAGCTGAAAACAAAACACGTAGTTTAGCGAAGTGCTCCTACACCTGTACATTTCTTAATTTCTGTGACCATAAGCTTAAATCATTTACCCGAAATCTAGATCATCTAGAGTCTTTCATATTTGTCCAGTGAATCACTCATTCCTCGCTCCCTTCACGCATTTTTCCAGGTAATCCATTCGTCTACTGTGAAAATGATATTGGCGGTATTTTGCAACCTGACCTACACACTGTCAATTTCTGTGGTTGAGTGAGATTGATAAGGACTCGGAACAGTTGAACTGATTATAATTTATTCATGTTTATCTGAGAGACAGTGCTACAATAGAAACTTTGATATATTGTCTTCAACGCTCACTAGTGAGTGTCTTTCTCAATCCGGTTGCTGGTTTGGGAATAGCCTCCATTAACCACAACCAATTCTCAAGATCATCAAGGTGTGATGTGATGCAGTTATTGTTCGAAATAGTTCAGAGGTAATCTACTATATATGTCGAAGTGTATTAGCAGTATTAGTGTGTGAAAAAGGACAGGGAATAATCTTATGTATTGGTTAGTGGTGGTTGACATCTAATCGGTTATTAGGATAAATAGTCGATTTGGGAACAATTGATGGTGAGCAGGAGAATAAGTGATTAAGGGTGCATTTTGCAATCTTTAAATATTCCCGTTGTTAATATTAGAACAAGACATGTAAGTGAACAATATTAAGGTTTTCAACTAGATCTGCTTTAGGCCTTACTCTAATTTACATAGATTTATATATAAAACAGAATTTAACCAATGACTGAGTTTGTTGATCGAATAATAATAATTATTAGTTGGCAAACGTTTTGAATGTTAGTGAAATAATGATGATTATAATGATAACAAAAACAGTGATAATAAGGTCTAAAAAGGCGGCAGTAAGAATAACGAAAGTAGTAATGCATGTGTATGTGGACAATTCAATAAAAAATAAATTAGGTCACATCTTAAGGGTTGCGTAAGTGGACAAATAATCAGAGTTCAAATAGATATCATAAACGTATAAACGAAATGGAAAATGGGAAGTGATGGGAGGGTTTTGATCAGAATTTACCTAGGCCAAAGGTAGAACAAGCTTATTCGTGTAGAAAAAGACTAGAAGTCTTCTCTGAAATCCCTATAGACTCAGCTATATATACAAAGGCGGGTTCGAATTCCATTCGAAAGGTTGGATGGGATGCGATGGATAACAATGAAGGCATTTCTTCTGTCCACCTAGTGACCTCTGTCGTCAGTCAAATGACACAAACTAAAACTGCCCATAGATTTTAGTTGATCTTTTCCTAACTAATAAGGAAGGAAGATGCCCAGCAATGATGCATTTGTTAAGCTAGCAGTCTAGTTATTCACCTCATATAGCCAGCTTTCTCCTCAGAAGCAGCTATATTTGTAAATACACATAGAATCGGCACAGCTAGGCAGCTTGTCTTTCACCTGGCCAGTCATATAGTTTGTCGGCAGCTCTAAAATAACAAGAATAGAAAATATAAGAAAATGACCGCATAGAATTTATTATGCTACAATTCATGAAGAAGTAAAAATGGCGCTAAGGCCTGGCCATGGTAGTAACGTAGGCTGGATAAAAACGTATTTGAACATGAAGTTCCAGATTTCTTCGGATGGATCGCTAAGGCTTCAGCTGCATGGAGACAGTTTGTTCATACTTTATACATGGTTCCAAAGGAATGAAGCATGTGCCAGTATCACGTGATCAAAAGGTCAACAATCGATTGTTGGCTGCGTTCTCCTTTGAACAACCTTACCATCATGTCTAGAAAATGTCAAATTAGTACAGCCCATGTACCAAAATCCGCAGTCTCAAGTAAACAGGAAAATCCACGAAGAAGTTAAAAGCAGATGGTTGTATCTA